TATCTTAATAGAGTGTCCTAAATATATTAGTGAAAGACAAAAACACTCAATACCTAACAATATAAAGGCAGTCTTAGGAGTACATTGTAAATTTACAAATTTGTTTAACTACTTGAAGGATATTGATGTTTTAAAAAAACTGTAACTGTCAATTATTTGTAAACTCTATTTACAAATTGTAAAATGTGAACTTATCTAATTATTGTAAACCTACTAATTAACTAAAATACTGTTTAGATTTAAGCACCTATGTAACAACTATAGTACAGCTAATAACCCAAAGTGGTTGATGCTGTTATCAATAAAAAAAAAAAAAAAAAAAAAAAAAGGAATGTCGTGCTGATCGTATAGACCTTAATTTAGTTTAGTAAGATAGTTTAGTGAAATAATAATAATTATTTAAATAAAAAACAAACTATTGTAGAAAATATAATTACTTTTCTACATTTGACATGGTAAAAACTTAGCTCTTAACAGATGGGCATAACATTTCAGCGAAGATCTAAATATAAACGATATTAAAGGAGGTTAGAACATGGAAAATCAACAAAATCTACAACGTCAATTACACAGTAAAGACCCAACAAAAGAAGAAGTAGTGTCAAATGCGATCCTAAAACTTAAAGACAATAAAGCCCCAGGAATCGATGAAATCTGTTCGAAATGTATAAAAAAGGTGGTGATAAACTTTTTACAGCAATCCATACACTAACTCTCTTATTAATAAACAGGGACTAACCTTGGACTAACATTAGTCCCAGGACTACACCAATAACATTCATTTTTAGTATTAGTAAACAGCGACTAGGGACAGACCATAGACAAAAACCATATAGATATTTATCTCATATTGGCGACCTTGAAATTTATTTTAGTTTCTTCGAATACACAGATGGCGCTACAGTACCTACATATTTTAAAGAGACATGGCAACTTCACGTCAACGTCAACATTTGTCAACTTGTCAAGATTCTTGTGTGATTATTTACTATTTACAGCGTGGTGGTGTTTATCTTTTGAGGATCTTTTATGTATTTTTATTTAACTCGGTGTGGCATTTATAGTTCTTAATTTATTAGTCTATTATAGTGTTTAAGTTTTATAGTGTTAAGTTAAGTTTTAATCTGTATTTGTTCCATTATAGTGTTAAGTTTTAATCTGTATTTGTTAAGGTAAGAATGATCTATTGTAATTGTAGATTTTTTTAACAAGTTAATTTTTTTTGATTAATATGTTTGTTTTGTTATTCACTTCAGATAGATATATTCAATATAGATAATAATAATTTTTACAAAACTTATGTGTGGTATGATGCAAATATCCATGTTCAATTTACACTATAAAATTAAATAAATTAATAAATAAAAATTTTTTTGTTACTTATCAGTTTTATTTATCCTTTTTTTTTCTAAAAACATTCGAAACATATTTCACACTGAGTGCACATTTATGTGCACTCTGTATTTATAACTGAATAAGAAAACTATAAGAGGCAATAGAGCTTCAACGTTGTATTTAGTTTCTTCGAATTTGTAGATGTCGCCTTTTAGCTTCTAAATGTCATTATTGAGTTCGCTATCTATTTAGTTTTGGTCTATGGGACAGACTAAGCTAAACTTTGGCTAGTCTGGGACTAACATTTAATCCGAGGTAGTGGCAGGTTTAGGGAGTGACTAACTTGACAATTTGACATTGAGTGGAGTTTTGTTTTGGTATTCATAACCTGATTTGTTTTTGATTATTCATACATTATTTAATAATGGAAGATTATTTTATCAACGACTTAAGATTAATAGAACAGCTTAATGACCATAGAAATCAGTGAAATAATATTCATCTAAGACATATTAAAATATATAAAATTTATTTAATAAAATATTTTACAATTCATTATATTAGTATTTTTTATATTTTCCCTTTGTAATAAAGTATTTTTTTAAGTTTCCTCCTGAACTTTTATGAAGTTTAACCTTTTCAGATAAAAAAAATACTATAAAATATAAACAAACTTTCTCAGAATACAGTACACAGTCCAACTAAAATTAACTCTACGTGTCCCAACTTATGCTAACTGTCAAATTCTCAAATATTTTTCTTCTTTTTCACAAAATTCTCTCCATTTTTCTTCTTTTTCGCAATGGTTGCCAACATAAACTTGTTGTACCTAGGACTAAGGAAGGTTTAGTTAGTCTGAGATTAGTCCATGTTTATTAATAACATTCTGAAAATGAAGTTAGTACTCGCTTAATCTGGGACTAACTAGTCCGAGACTAACTTCGGACTAAGCAATTTTTATTAATAAGACTGTTTTAGTATAAATGGATATATACTTATACTTATATCGTAGAATAAATGGATACCGGAAGAGTGGCTGAAGGGAATAATATGTCCGTTGTATAAAAAGGGTGATTAAGTGGAGTGAAAGAACTATAGAGGCATTATTCTGTTAGCATCTGCGTAAAAAATTTTTGGCAATGTATTATTTGAAAGACTGAAACATTTTACAAAGGATATTGTTGTCAATATCAATGCAGGTTTATTGCGGGAAAGTCAACTACACAACAAATTCAAGCACATAGACAGATTCTAGAAAAGTCACTAAAATATAACATAGATACACACCATCCCTTCATTGTTTGTCTTCAAAGCAGACTATGACAGTGTAAAAAGAACTGCATTATATAATGCAATGATAGAATTTGGGATCCCATGTAAGTTAGTTAAATTGACACAACTAACAATACAAAACGTTAGCTCATGCGTTAGAATTCTACGTTTTTTAGTATTAATAATGGTCTAAGACAGTGGGAAACGTTGGCGTGTCTCGCCTTTATTATTTTCTTGGAAAATGCAATCAGACAATTAAATATTAGAATGAATGAAACTATTTTTAATAGATTGACAAAAATTCTTGCATTCGCTGACGATATAGTTATAGTAGACATAAGTATAAGAGACATGGTGCCGTATTTTACAAGGCATGCGGACGCAGCAAGTGAATTACGACTTGTGGTAAACGAGGAAAAATATCCAACATAGAATTCAAATTACCAACCATACCTTTGAGCAAGTCAAAGAATTAACATATCTTGGATTGCATAGCAATAGCAAACAGAACTATTCACGGCCTCCAGAAACATTTCAAAAATAAAAACGTGCTATAAAGATTAATATATACAAGACCTTAATAAGACCGGTTTTAATATATGGGGCTGAAACGTGGACGTTATCTCAAAATTATTAAAGACTTCTTGATATTTTTGAGAGAAAAATTCCTCCTAAAAAGAACTTTAATGTGCTATTGTTGTCAAAACAACTGCAATAGCACATTAAAGTTCTCCAATCAACAATATATGATTTTTGCAACCATGACCTACCATCCATCAATTAATAGAGTACCGGCATGTAAGTAATGTTCGTTTTGTTTTATTTATCTGCTCATTTATTAATTTATTACAATATAATATTACTACTTTATACCAATTGTGGGTCTTACTTTGTCTTACCTTGTCTGTTAATACCTTTTATATATTCAAATTTATTCATTTGAAAACCACAGGCATGTAATATTGGCATAATTACTATAATTTGTATGAACTAACTTATTTGTTTATTTTATCTTTATTAGACACCACCCTAATTGGGTTTATTATATTGCAGCATTAGTTTAACTTTGTATCTGGACCTGAGGATGCTTTGCAAATTGTAGAAAGCGAAACCGGTCGTCAGATTGTTAAATTAAATTGATTGTGAGTAAGTCTTATTATTATTTCTTTACCTATTTGATATGGACTCACACAAGCAACACATTCATGATTTTAATATAAAAGTATCAACCATTAATGTTGTAGTTTTAAATTTATGTAAATAAGATGATATAAGGAAAAACAATTGTATGGTTGTAGTTAGGCAACCAACTATGCATGTATGTAGCAATGCAATATAGAAAAAAAAATTTTTATTTTATTATATGGCCCTTTATGTTTCTTAAACATTTGGTACCCAGAAAATATAAACTAGACACATGTGGAAGGTTGAATTCTAGAAATTTTAATGTTAATGGTTTGATCTAAATGTATTTATTTAGAATTGGAAGTGTTCTTGAATGAATAAAATAAAACTTTTGTAGTAGATGTTCACGTGTTATTTAACTTTTAACTCAAATATAGAGGCCCTGTATGTCAAAAGCAACATTTGGTACCTGGTAAATGTGAAAATTTTTTGAGTTATAAGTTCATGAACATAAATATCTGACAAGGTGGTAACAAACTAAATTATTGAAACAGACTATTGTGAAATTCATTTAAGTGTAGAGACTTAGATGGGCTGGACACATTGCTAGGATGTCAGATTACGAATACACGAAGATATTAAGACTTTCAAAACCAGAGGACACAAGAAGCAGAAAACGACCACGAATGAGATGGATTGATTATGTGGACCTACAGATTCTAAGGGTTATAATATGGAGGGAAGTTGCCACGAATCGACAGTAGTGGCGACTGCTTTGTGGGTAGGCAAAGATCCACAACGGATTGTCGAGCCACTGATAATGATGATTGGTACGACAGCTAAACGTCAACATTACAAGAGCTGTAGATATAAACAGGACTGTCCTACAAGAAAAAAGTTAGCAGGATTCTTTCGTTTGTTGTATCGAATGCTCCTGTGACGGCTACCAAAGCTACCGCCACCTAGATTATTTGGATATAAATTTTCTAGAATTTTAGGAATTTAATTATTACTCATAAGCTTCAAGTAAAAGAAAAGGGATAAAAGTAAAAAATTATCTTTATGATAAAATTTAAATTACAAACTACAAGAATACCATAACCAAGAATAAGTAATAAAAACAATTAATTTTTTTTGCAAAATACCATTCACGGGAAACCAATATTAGTTAATTGATTAATATCATCAAATCGTATGAATAAAATCTTTACATTCTCGAATGTTTTTCTTAGCTTGATATATGTCTCATGCCCAAATGAAATACATACCTGTCGATCGTATTTCATTATTCTTAGTAAATGTATGCCGTGTACAATAGACGCCTGATGAAACTTCCTAGTGACTCCTAAATACTTTTCCAATTCCTTTTTACTCAAGTGTTCCAACATTCTCGCATCCACCATATTCGTCGCGAAATTCTCGCAATACTGAAACAAAACAATGCTCTTGTTTAGATGAGTTTAATATTCATGTCATATGGATCGAAGTAACCTACTTACTTAAATTTCTTATACAATATACGAGTATACATTTTTCAAAGGGCGTTTTAAATTTTTCAATTATATTAAGACGCTTTTGTAATAAGGCTAATGCGCTTAGAAAAATATATATGAAGTGAGAAATTTACGTGGTGTAATAAAATAGAAAGGACAAAACAACCCAAGAAAACATAAAAAAATTCCTTTCTCTAAAAGAAGCATACAGTATAAAGTTAGCATATATGTTTTTAGTTATAACTATAAAAATTATTAGCATCATATTCGTCCATATCTGTGATCACTCATAGGAGAGTGGTTTACTCCTAAAAAGACGCTTAGGAATGGAATATACCGACTAAATTTTTTTTGCATTTCTACCTTACCAAATCTTTTTATTTGATTTTATATATTTTTTCAAGTACAAATAGACTTTTTTTGTTTTTCTAAGTGGACAGGAAATTGTTATTAACACATAACTTATAACAAAAAAAACAATTCTCCGAATCGACTCGAGTAAAATTATTTTAGATATATCTTATCAAAGTAAATATTTTTTCTCTGGTGTATATAGGATACAGTCAATTCTCACAAGGTATTTTTTATTATAATAAAAATGTGGCCTACCGGTTCCGATGTTTACAATGTTTTTGCCCCATCATGAGGCCACAGTAAAATGGTCTTAGACAGGCCATTCACGTTCCGACTTGTGGTCCAACTTAGTAGGACTACTAGTTGGATGTTCGTCTCCACTCACGCTCCGACTTTCTATCCAACTAGCGGTCCAACTTCAGTTCTAGGTTGTTTTCACGATAGTGTACATCGCTTAACCAAAAAATGTATCAAACAAACACTACGCAAAATATAATTAGGAGGAGGAAAATGGCAGCATTGTGCTTGTTATCCTTATATATAAGTTATGATATGTATGTTTAAAAATTATGTTTCGTTTCTCTAGTTATTTGTCTAGGGCTGAACTAATTAATTTTTTCAACTCTTGATTTTTATGACTTTTTAAGATGTAGGAAAAAATTATAGTTTTTAAAGATTTGTGTAGGTATAACATCTATATTTTATTTGTTTTAACCTGGAGCTGGGATTTATTTAGTTGTGTGTGTGTCGAATATTTTAAAAAGGAATAATTTTTCGTGCAATTGAAAGTTATTTTCTATTATTTTTTTGCGAATTAGGAATCTTTTGCTACAACTATGATTTAATTTTCATCGTCTGTTGATAATTTGTCCGTAGCCAATCCGGAGTATCGGAAATTTACCTGTATGGGAATGTCCGAAATAGATCTACAGAAAGGAAAATGATTTGCCCTAACAAAAAGGTAATTTTCGTGCAATTGAAAGTTTTCTATTAAATATTCGCGTCCACTAGTTGTCCAACTAATCCAACTAGCCCACTCACGGTCCGATTTCAGATCCAACTGCAGAAGTTGGACCACTAGTCGTATCAGAAGTCGAAACGTGAATGGCCTGCAGTTTTAATAAAAACCAAAAGCTAAAAACTAACAATTAACACACAAATACAACAAAAGTCACAGTCAAAACTAATGTAAAGTTTGTTAAGCAGTAAATGGTTGACTTCAATTACTACCGAATATAAACATCCTGAGCTAACCGATAATAGTATAAAAGACCCAATTTTAGGTTAAATTTAAATAATGTTTCCTGGTAAAATTTATCAATCTTCATTTTTAATGTTGATGTAATTGCATACAATCATTATAATTTCATTAATACAGATAAGGTTTATATTGACGAAACTGTACTAATAAGAAGGTTTTTCGAATTCGGTGGTAGTGCGCGACAGGTTTGCTAATCACCTTTTAAGTGGTTTTAAGGTATTTATATAATGATAAAGTTTATGGAACGACACACCAACTAGTATTTAAATATGAGTTCTTGATAAAAATTGTTTGTCTTCATGTATCACGGGAAGTGTTAAGTAGTATCATTTATTTTATTCATTACGTTTTGTGGCTTCAGTGGAATAGTAATAATGGGGCTTCTTCTAGTGTTCCGGTAAAAAAAAACGTTGATCTGTACATGCAAAGCAAATTGAAAAAACTATATACAGTACCTTACTTAAAACGCTATGAGTGAAATATGCTATTTGACGAAAATACCTCTGACCACACTAAAAAGAATTACATTAAATCCCACAGAAACAAGAAAAAAACATAAAGATTCCAGTTCCACCAAATATATGGAAGAAGCCGATAAGGACTTGATGCTCGAAAAGTCTATACCATGTACGAAGAGCAACGCATACCTACATTATGTGTTCTGAAGCAACGGCTCAATGTTGATGAAACCCAAATAAGCTGTAAGCTCACCAGCTTATGGAAAATTTTGAAAACTATGGGCTTTCGATATCGTATAATTGACAAAAGACTAGTAATTATGAAATCTGATTGAGTACAAAATGGCGTTATGAGTATATAACTTCGACAAGAAAATTTCGTCCTGAAAATCGACACATCTCGACGAGACATGGTTTGACACACATTCAACGCGACCTAAAGGATTTGCCGATTCCTCCGGGAAATGTAAGACAAAAGTTCCGTCAAATCAAAGGAAATCAATAACGATTTTACATGCTGGATCAGAAAATGGTTGGGTTCCAAATGCCCTGTGGCTTTCTCCAAAGAATATTAAAGACTCCTGCGTCGACTACTTGGAAAATACAACGGCATAGAACAAGATAGAACTTTTTAAAGAATGGTGCAAAAATAATCTTATGCCAAACGTTCCTGAGAATAGCGTGATAGTAATGGACAATGCAAGCTATCATAGTCGCCAACTTAGTAAGGCTCTAAACACGAATAATACTAAATTGGAAATTCAAAATTACATGGAGACGAATGATATGTATTTTGAAGAATGTTACACTAAACAAGAGCTTTTAGACGTTTTAAATGCAGTTTCTATAAAAAAGTATATGTTTGTGATACATTGGCAGATGAAATGGGACATAGAGTGATGTGGATTTCACCCTATTATTGTATATTTAATCTTATAGAACACATGTGGCACGAATTGAAGTCTAACGTAAGATCAGAAAATATTTGTCTAATCTTAAGTGGTACTGTTGTAGAGTTGTAGAAAGAAAATGTGTAAATGATATTCTTTCAACTACTTGGAAAAATTCAGTCCGACACGTAATAAGTAATATATCTTCATGTAGATCATAACATAATTGAACCGATCATAATTAATTTAGATGAGGAAAGCGATAGTGAAATAGAACTGTGGAGTGGTACCGTCATCAAATCTACAAATGTTACGATTAACAAAAAAAAAACGGTCCTTTTCAGAACCACAAATTATTATAAAGTTTTTTTTCCTATAATCTTAGCAATTAAAATAGATTTAATTTATGTTAAAACTCATTTTAAAACATTAATTTTGGGTATATAAGGTAAAGCAGTATATTTTACATCCGTTTTTTTTTTGTCGTAATTATTGTAAATGTTGTGCATCCTTGCTTTATTATAGGAGTACCGTCTAGTCAGTGTAAATTTGTAAAAGACCAACTCTGTCTACCTCGTTTGCTTATCGTTCCAGATGGTTTTAATAATAGTCAGATCAATCTAATAATATTTACGGCCGCACTAATTGAATTCAACCATTTCCCGCTAAACAAACTGTAAATCAAAATTATGCTAGCAAAATTGAGTAAAATTGATATTATATGTATAAAAACGTAATTTATATACAATTAGTTAGTTATTTAGTTTTTATACAATTTAGAACAAAATTAAAATTAAGAGTTCAAATTTAAACGAATTATATGAAACAGTTAGGCCTTACAGTTCACCACTACCCGGAAGGAATCCATTTATTTAACTTTTCTCTCTTGGTAAAAAAATGCTTTATTTTGAATTCTTTGAGTTCTTTATTATTGCAAACATGTATTAATTAGTGATTTTTTGATTTGTTTTTCTACCAAACTACCAAATGAATTACAATTCTACAAAAAGCTATATAATCTTGGAACCTTCTCGTACAAGTAATATTATTACGATAAGTGGTTTATACCTTGGTAATTTTAAATTTAAGGGGGTATGTTTACGCCGCAGTTAAAATGAGTGGAATTCAAATAAACTAACGTTTAACAATTCTTTGAGTAGATGGCAGCACGTTGATCATGTTCTAATATTTTGAATTTTCTGAAATTTAATTTTCTGAACAGCGACATTGTTGCCAACGAGGCCAAGTACTTGGACTATTGGTAGAATCGGTACCGTTCGCTCTCAATCGACAGTCTTCTTTAATGTAAGTTGAAAGTAGTTTTTATTTTAAGTTTCACATATTATATTTTTTTGATTGGAACATTTGATATAATTTTTTAATTTTTGTGTTTTTTTGTTGTTGTTGTTCATCTACTTTTGAAGTTAAGTTGGTGTTTTGATTTTAAGTATTGTTTTTTAGTTTTATAAACATTTTAAATGGTGAATATCAGTCTTGTTTCCTAATTAAACTAAAAAATTAAATTTCAGGTACAAAAAATTACTTGTATTAAAAATATACAGCTGTAAACCTCATAATTTATTAACCCAGTAGCGGACGCTAAGGGCTAATCAGTTCTTTGTAATTTTACATTTTTCCTGGCAACAGGCTATTAAATTTATATTTATTTTCAGCCGGTAAACGAAAACCTGATGTTGCTAAATCAATTTTTTGTTTATTTTGAACTTCACTCTGTAAAAAGCTCATTAGCCCACTTAATCTTGTTTTTAAATTTGTAACTTCTGCAGTTTCTCCGATATTTTCCATGGACACGGAAACATAAGATGCCATAATCAAATATTATCTTCTGGCAAACATGACTCGATAAGAGCATACAATATCGCCAAAAAATTGTCAGCAGTTTCGTCTAAGGTTTGAAGTGAACAAAGCTATCTCTGAATCATATCATAAAGAGCAGAAATATTAAAAGGA